TTTTTTTGGTTTTTCTCCGGTACCAGGAACCGAACTCACGACCTTGCGCTTGCCAGGCAGGCGCTTTTGCCGCTGAGCTAAATTCCCAGCCCGACTGCTGTGATCTTTATTGAGGGCGGGTCGTCTCGGGGCACTTCTAAACTACTCTGCGAAAGGGAGACTAGCTGCTCTTCCCGAACTCTCCCGCCCTTCCTAGACGCCCATTCACTCAGGTTCCTTCCCACTGCCTGGGCCTCTTCCCGCAGTAGTTGTGCACGGCGAAGGCCGTATCCGAGCCTTACCCCTTCCTTGCCAGTTACCTCCCTAAGAGAGAATCCAAAAGATTTGGAGCAGCTAGAGCCACCTGATTTCCAGATGCCCTGAATAGGGATAAGGAAAAGGGGCCCAATTGTGGCTAGGCGGGCCTGACAGCTCCTGCCAAGCCAAAACAAAAAAAAGGAAGGACGCCAAGGCCACCAGCATTGGTGGAGGGAGGTGCTGGGTATGAAGGAGCTACTTTATCCTAGACAGGGGTGGGGAGAGGTCCTCTGTGGGTGACCCTGACATCCTCAGGGCTTCCTGAATCACAGACCGGGTCAGCGGGCTCAGATATGCTTCATGCCCCAAGTCCACTCTGCCCAGTCTATTTTCCCACATCTTTCTCATTCTGCCACAGTCCTTCCTAGTAGTGGCCAATAGCACGAAAGTGTACGAGCACCAAGACTCTGATCCCAATCTATATCCACAAAGACATCAGCTTCCAAGGCCAAGTCCTGTCTCTCCCTCTGCCTCCAAGCCCAGCTCCAGCTGGCCCACCCACCCGTCAAGTTTATTCAACTTTCCCACCCTGAGACTGGAAAGAGGCCTTCTCTAGCTCTCCCCTAGACAGGGTGCCTGGGACACAGCCCACCAGCCGTGTAGCAGGATGGGACAGACAGACCAGGGGAGTGGCAAAGACACAGAATTCCTTGCTGCAGAGAAAGCAGAAAGCCAGACTTCTACCCTGAGAACTGACCTAATGGGAACCATACCAAAGGGTGGGGCCAGATCCCTGGCTGTGGGAACTGACCAGGACCGGGGATAGACAGGCAGCCCCCACAGAGCCAGGGCAGAGGCGTGGTCCCTTACCCTCCACATTCCTCACCCTTTCCTTGGCTTTCTCTTTGATATTTGAAATACAGTAAATGTGATGATGGGGGGGGACTGCATTTATTTTACTTAATCCAGCCTAGAAATCAGAATAGACTCTGGGCTGTGTGGCCCCGGGGTGCAACTTCAGCTGGGATTGGGGTGAGGGCTCCTGGGGGGCTGCCTAGGACACTGCATCTTTTGTGCCTTCTCCCTGCCACTAACACCCCCTCCACACACACACACACAAGCTGCTGCTGCCACTCTAAGGCCCTTTGTCTTTCTCTGCTTAGTCACTCCCTTTGTCCCCATCTCAGATGGGGGATGGAAAGAGGCCATAAGAGCCCTATGGTGATAGCTCCTCTTGCCCCTACCCCTCTGGGGCCCCATCCTTGTATGATCCTACAGCCCTAGCCCCAGCCTCTACTTAGGACCAGAGAGGGTTAGGGCCTATAGTGGGTCAAAAGTGGGTGTAGCAATCACATTGGGTAGGTAATACAGGAAGTGATGGGCACCGGGACAGGTCTTAATGACCTGATCAGGAAGGGAGGAGGAGAGGAAGTATTGTGGCGGATATGATGCTGCGGGGAACAGGAGGTGACCAGGCAGAGAGTGAATAAGGGGATGGGGTCAGGGGGAGGTGGTACCCCCCTGGGAAAGGGAAGGGACTACTGATTTACACTCTCCTTCCTGGGGATTTCCTGGGGAAACAGTAGCCATGGAATGGTGTGAGTAGAAATTGCCCCAGACTTCTGAACCTTTGACTTCTTTGTCTTGAGAGTCTACCCTAAGACCTCTTGTCTAAGTCTCTTCCAAGCCAAAACCAATGGAATCATTTGCTTCTTTTCTCTAATAGCAACTCTGCTCCCCAGGCACTTTCTCTACCCCAAGGAGAATGAGAAATCAAAGATTACCAGATATTCCAGGAACTCTCAGGTTTTCAGAGCATGACAGAGACAGAGGAGGGAGCCAGGTGGGGATTCCCTCAGAATGATACTGGGTAGTTTTTGGCTCCTGAGAGCAAGTCCTTGCCTATGGTAGGTGCTGGCTGACTTGAGGCTGGGGGAGGGTTTGGGACAGTTGGAATGGGTAGGAGCAGGGCCAAGAGTCTGGGGAAAACTTCTGGGAGCTGGGCCAGGGAAATGAGGAGTCAGGAAGTGGGGAGGAGGAGCCTTGGGAATGGGAAATGGAGGCTGGTATGGCTGCTGGGGCTCTGGAGGGTGCAAAAGGGCTGGGAGTAGGTAACTTAGGAAGCCTGAGATGCCACCCTGAAGCCTCCTATAGAAAGAAAAGTTGTTAAGTCCCGCTGATTGTCTGCTTCCTCTGCATATCCATCCCAGAAGAATCATCCTACCTTTGGGCAATGAACTCCCTGGTCACTGTCTTCTGCCTCCCTGAGCTGTCTCTCTGCCCTCTCCAGCTTGGTCCCATGCTAAGGTGTGTCAAGCTACCGCCTTCTCGGTTCTTCCTTACCTGTCCCCCACCTGGTCCTGGAAATCAGCCTCTGCGGGCAGAGGGCAGTGTGAAGGAGCCTTGAGGAAGGAAAGGCCAGGAAGGGTTAGACAGTAGGAGCAGAAATTCTCCCAGGACATGATCTGTGTTGGCCAAACGCTTTCCCTGACTCCTGCCTCCCCTGGGGCTCTGTCCCACCAAAAAGGAAAAGAGACAGCTGAGGGTTCCTTGTGGGGCTTGGGGGAAAAAAGTCTATGTCGTCAGCTGGCTCAGTATCTTTAAAATTCATCCAGCTGTTAGAGAGTCCCCTCCCCTGGGCAAGTCCCTTTTTTTTTTTTTAATTAAGGAAAACAAAACAAAACAAAAAGAACGAGGATTTTGGGAAGCAATGAGACACCCATCCACCCATCCAGTCCCACCGACAGAACTCCTGACTGAGTGGCTTACAGATCAGCCAATCAATTGCACAGCTCTGGTTGCTTAAAAGAGCTGGCGCGGAGAGAGGCTGGGGAGAGCCCACGGGGAGACCCGCAGACACATAGATACGGAGACAGAGGAGAGAGGCTGAGACAAAGGCACAGGAGAAGGAGGCAGAGGCAGGGCAAGCAGGGAGGCGCAGCCAGACAGAGTCCTACAGAGGGAGAGGCCGGAGAAGCGTGGGCGGGAGAGACAGAGGAGGGAGCAGGAGGAAAGTTTGGAGAAGCGACCCCTGAGCAGCTCTCACAAGTAGAAGGGTTAAGTTTTTTTGTCTCCTGTGAAGGTCTTCATCTCCTCTTGGCACAAGGGAGCCCTAAACTTACACAGGCACTTTCTACAGCTAGGGTGTGGAGGACCTGGTGCCTCCAGATAGCCTCTGTCCCTGCCAGCCGGAGCCCCTGTGCCATGTCCCTTACAGGCTCACGTTCCGGGAGGGGCCTGGCCAGATGCAGGCTGTGGAGCGTCCAACTCCGCCCGCTGCCCCCCGCGGCACCGCTCTCAGGGCTGGTGTGGCTGCTGCCGCTGCTGCTGCTGCTGGTCTCCCTCCTGCCCTCTGCCCGGCCGGCCAGCCCCCTCCCGCGGGAGGAGGAGATCGTGTTTCCAGAGAAGCTCAACGGCAGCGTCCTGCCTGGTTCAGACGTCCCGGCCAGACTCTTGTATCGTTTGCCTGCCTTTGGGGAGACGCTGCTGCTAGAGCTGGAGCAGGACCCTGGCGTGCAGGTCGCGGGGCTGACTGTGCAGTACCTAGGCCAGGCGCCTGAGCTGCTGGGCGGAGTGGAGCCGGGCACCTACCTGACTGGCACGATCAATGGAGATCCTGAGTCGGTGGCATCTCTGCACTGGGATGGGGGAGCCCTACTAGGGGTGTTGCAATACCGAGGGGCTGAGCTCCACCTCCAGCCCCTGGAAGGGGGCACCCTTAACTCAGCTGGGGGCCCGGGGGCGCACATCCTTCGCCGGAAGAGTCCTGACAGCGGCCAGGGTCCCATGTGCAACGTCAAGGCTCCTCCTAGGAGTTCCCATCCCAGCCCTCGAAGAGCCAAGGTAGGCAACCCTCGAGTGTGCCCTGCAGTGTTCTCCCGCCATGTCTGTCCCACTGACCCCATTCACCCTCTTCCCACCCACTTCTCCTTCTGGCTGTCTGCCCCATCTCTTCTATCTGCCTCTCCCCTTTCTCTCCACTGGCCTCCAGGCTTGGGAAGGCTCTGGCCTCTCTGCCCAGCCCTTCTAACCAGATCCACTCTGAGGGTTCCTAGAGGTGGGTCGCATATGCTAGGCTGGGAAGGACCGCTCCCCCTTCCTTCCTCCCTGCCTGGCCATGGCATACCCTGCTGGCACCGTAGCCGGCAATAAAGTTCTAACAGCCCCTTGGCCTTGGCTCTGCCCCAGTGATTTGCACCCTCACGCCCAGCTAAAGGAGTGAGGTTTGAGGCCGAGCCAGAGGAATCGGCCTCTGGCTTCTGATGCTGCCTTCAAAATTATTCTGGCAAACTGCAAACTAGGACAGGAGTGGGCAGGGGAAGAAAGGATCCCGTACCTCCTGGTCAGTCGCCATCCCACACTGTGGAGTGACTGTGAGGCTGACTGGGGCTCCATCCTTTCCTTCTTTCCACTCCCAGACCACCACTCCCCTCTCCCTAACATCCTCCCCTTCCCCTCCCTTGCTTTAAGCTTTAATCCAGACCAGACCTCCCTCCACACCCGCCACGCTGAGCTCTGGCCCCAGCCCTAGCTGCTGACTGAATTGTTCCTCCAACCACACAGGGCAGACACGTTGCAGCCCAGCCCTCCAGCCCTAGTCCCACAGGCCCCAGCCATACATACTCAGGCCTGGGGGGCCCCAAAGCCCCTCCCAGAGGCAACCCAGTGGCTTTTAACCTTGGGGGCCCACACAACCCTGGGACGTGGCATCTCTCTCTCCTCCCCTTCAGAATCAACAGCTGATTCCTCAGCATTAGCACAAAAGCCCTGGGATTTGGAGTTGAGGGGAGGGCCCAAACCAGACTCGTCAGGAATCCCAAGGGGTATGCAGGGCCCAGCTGGCCCTGCTTATTTCCAGACCCAGGAAGTGAGGGAGGGGAGAAGCCATCCATGGGTCTGGGAGGCTATTTCAGGATCCTCCTCTCTCTCTTCCTTTCCAGCGCTTTGCTTCACTGAGTAGATTCGTGGAGACCCTGGTGGTGGCCGATGACAAGATGGCAGCATTCCACGGAGCAGGCCTAAAGCACTATCTGCTGACAGTTATGGCGGCAGCAGCCAAGGCCTTCAAGCACCCAAGCATCCGCAATCCTGTCAGCTTAGTGGTGACTCGACTAGTGATTCTGGGGTCAGGCCAGGAGGGGCCCCAAGTGGGGCCCAGTGCTGCCCTGACACTACGCAGCTTCTGTGCCTGGCAGCGGGGCCTCAATACCCCCGAAGACTCGGACCCTGACCACTTTGACACAGCCATTCTGTTTACCCGTCAGGTGAGGCCCCACGCAGTACCACGGGCTGGGCACTGCACAACCAAGAGGCACCACTCCACGAACTATGATGAAAATGGCGCCTGGCCCCAGCCATACTGCCATGTGGCGCTCTCTGGGCCCTGACAGTGCTGGGTCCTCAGAGCTCCAGTCCCACCACCAATCCAGATTCCACCACTATGGGCCCACAGGTCTTGGCCCATTCTATGCATCTTCTGTGATCCCTCTCCACAGGATCTGTGTGGGGTCTCCACTTGCGACACACTGGGTATGGCTGATGTGGGTACTGTGTGTGACCCGGCTCGGAGCTGTGCTGTGGTGGAGGATGACGGGCTCCAGTCAGCCTTCACTGCTGCTCATGAACTGGGTAAGGAGGGGCTAGGACCAGGAAGTACCTGAGATAAATGAATGAGGGGATCGTGAGCTTACCAGGTATAAATGGGGGTCCCAAGATATTTCTTCCTCCTCCCTAGGCCTAGATCTAAGACCATAACTCTTAAACTTTCCTGTTAAATAAGATAGTATGTGGAAACCTACCATGAAGGGTGTGTGTGTGTGTGTGTGTGTGTGTGTGTTTGGAGGAGGAGACAGTGAGGAAATGGGGGTTCAGGACTGGGAGTGTTGGCTCCAATGAAAATGAGCAAGGCAAGGTCTTTCCTTTGGGGAAGGGAAGTCAGCGCAGCAGGGGCTCCATGTTAGGAACTGTCAGCATCAGCAGGAGACCGGGGCGAGGTAGAGTGGGGAACGGCATTCCAGCCGCAGCCACACCCATGAGGGAGCCCCCCAAAGACACAGGGATGGGCCCCTGGACACTAGCAGGACCTCTGCTCTCCCAGGCCACGTCTTCAACATGCTTCATGACAACTCCAAGCAGTGCATCGGTTTGAATGCGCAGGGAAGCACCTCCAACCATGTCATGGCTCCTGTGATGGCTCACGTGGACCCGGAGGAGCCCTGGTCCCCCTGCAGTGCCCAATTCATCACTGACTTCCTGGACAATGGCTACGGTAAGCAGATGGCCCTCACCTTTCCCAGGGAAGGCCTCAGTGGCATCACACTGACTCCTCCACTTGCTTCCTCTTCACATGACGGGTTGAGAAACTGCTGTCTTTGTGTGCTTCCCACTTCCTACCAAAATACATTGCAGTGAGGGGAGCGAAGTTTCAGCTCAAGAGAATTAGAACTGACCTTCTAAGGGCCAGAACTGTCCAACACTGGGGTCGGGGAGATGTGAAGGAGGTGACTACCTTGTCACCCAGGGAACTATGCAAGAACAGCAGCATGGCTGTCACTAGCCAGAGCTGCTCATGAGAAACGGACCTGAGGGTTCTGTGGCAGGTAAAGGAGGAAGACTTAGCGCTTTGGGTTCCTATCCTGATCCTGTCCCTTAGGTGTATGCAGATAGGTAACTGTCGGTTATTTCACCTCTGGCTGCTTGTAGCTGATGTGTAAACTAGGTATAATGATGGTAACTACCTCCCAGCTATTTGCCACAATTAAATATCACTTAGCCTGTGCGCGCCACATAATAAGCAACCAGTAAAGTGTAGCTGTTGTTTAAAGCCTCATATAGCCCGAGGATTGTTTTTTTCTTGGGATCCCCCAGGTCCTAGCAAGCCTAAACTTTCAGCTGGGAACCCTGAATGCTCCCCTCGGCCCCTGGCTGACTTTGTGCCTCTACTTCCTTCCAGGACACTGTCTCTTAGACAAGCCAGAGGCTCCTCTGAATCTGCCTGTGACTTTTCCTGGCAAGGACTATGACGCTGACCGCCAGTGCCAGCTGACCTTTGGGCCTGACTCACACCACTGTCCCCAGCTGCCACCGCCCTGTGCTGCTCTCTGGTGCTCTGGCCACCTCAATGGCCACGCCATGTGCCAAACCAAGCACTCACCTTGGGCCGATGGAACCCCCTGTGGGCCCGCACAGGCCTGCATGGGTGGCCGCTGCCTCCACATGGACCAGCTCAAGGACTTCAATGTGAGATCACAGGGCAGGGCTGGGTGAAGAGCCTGGGGAGTGGGGACTCCTTAAGCCCAGGAGAGAGTATATTTATCCCACCTGTCCATGTTGTGCCTCTGCAGGTTCCACAGGCTGGTGGCTGGGGCCCTTGGGGACCATGGGGCGACTGCTCTCGGAGCTGTGGGGGTGGTGTCCAGTTCTCCTACCGGGACTGCACAAAGCCTGTCCCCCGGAATGGTGGCAAGTACTGTGAAGGCCGTCGCACTCGCTTCCGCTCCTGCAACACCCAGAATTGCCCAACTGGCTCAGGTGAGGGGAGTGCTGGGTCTCCTTGGGAAGGAAGGGTAGAGCCTGGAGGTGTCCCCCAGGCATGGTGGCACACACCTGTAAAAATCCCAGTACTCAGGAGGCTGAGGCAGGGGAATTAAAGTGAGCTTGAGGACAGCCTGGGCTACAAAAAAAGGCTATTGTTAATTGACCCTGCTGTTGGCGTGGAGCGACTTCACCTTTCTGGAACTGTCCCTGGCAGTCTGTGAGGACAGAAGGGCTATGCTGTCTAAGGTTCTGAGGGGCTAGGTGGAGAGGTTTGGGGTAGGGGGACGGTGTGAGGAGGGGAGCTCTGACTGTCCATTTCACCCCTCTAGCATTGACCTTCCGTGAGGAGCAGTGTGCTGCCTACAACCATCGCACTGACCTCTTCAAGAGCTTCCCGGGGCCCATGGACTGGGTTCCTCGATATGCTGGTGTGGCCCCCCGGGACCAGTGTAAGCTCACCTGCCAGGCGCAGGCACTGGGCTACTACTATGTGCTGGACCAACGGGTAAGGGCCAGGAAGACCCCAGCCTGTCTATGCTCAGACACTCGCTATTTGTCCCTTTGCTTTATGGTGGCAAGGATCCTTTAAAACAGAACCATGCTGGCTTTCCCAGAGCCCATCCAGCCCAGGGGTCCACTCAGACCTATCTGTCCATGTGTATTAGGAAAATAAGCCCTAGGCTGGGTAAGTGGCCAGTGAACCTGCTCTGGCCTGTTGCATCTCCTTGCCCTGCATTTGGTGAGAATGAAAGTTTGTGGCGTTTTGGGCAAGTTATTATTTTTTTTCCTTTGGTATAGGTACTTGTGCCACTGAGCTATATCCCCATCCTTAGGCAAGTTACTCTCTGTACTGGTTTCTCTGTCAAACTACAGCAGTGGCAGCAGATGGCTTTTGGACAGCCAGTCTTCAATAGACAGGTTTCCTGGAGATGACTGGCGTCCCTGCACTACCTCCGTGTGACAGGGGCTGTGGACTAAAGGTGGAAGGAAAAAAAAAGCAGCCCTAGCAGCCTTTAACTCCCTCCTTTCCCCCAGTCTGCGGAAAATTCCTGTTGGTTGGCGCCCTCTAGCGTCCATATGGAGACAGTAGCATCAAGTTTAGGGCTTGGTTTCAGGACTGAGACCTAAAATTTCCACCTTGGCACCTTGGCCTGTCGTTTTGTGTGGGCTTTCGGCACGTTCCTCGATCTTTCTAAGTGTTTCATCTCTAGAAACCTCAAACAGTAGTTGGCAGGATTTTATGTTCATGTTTATAAAGGATTTGGCACACTGTCTGGTTTATAATGTGTTTAAAATTTGGAGGGGATATTAGGGATTGAACCCAGGACCTTTGCACTGGGCTACATCCCAGTGTTTTTTTTTTTTTTTACTTTTTAGACAAAGTCTTACAGAGTTGCTAAATTTCCCAGGCTGGGCTCAAATTTGTGATCCTCCTGCTTCAGGGTCCAAGAGTACTGAGATTACAGATGTGCACCATCATGCCTGGTGAAAGTGGTGGCTTTTACAATTGTTATTATGATTATCATCTTACACAGGGGCTGGGGCTCGCCCTACACACCTCATTCAGCTTTTCTGATGCTCCCTGGGACCTGAGTCTTCCAATTTAGGAAGAACCATTTACACTGTTCCTTCTCTTCTGTTCAGGTCATAGATGGGACCCCCTGTTCCCCAGACAGCTCCTCAGTCTGTGTCCAGGGCCGCTGCATCCACGCTGGCTGTGACCGCATTATTGGCTCCAAAAAGAAGTTTGACAAGTGCATGGTGTGCGGCGGGGACGGCTCTGGCTGCAGCAAGCAGTCTGGCTCCTTCAGAAAATTCAGGTTCCTTCCTCGTTTCTTTTCCCTCTCTGTCCTCCTAGATGCTGTTCTGGACTCTGAGGATAGAGATATGAAGTAACCGTGTTTCCATAGCATAGCATAGCAGGGAGACAGAGGAGTCGGGAGTTACAGTGCAGTGTGTTCAGCAGAGCACCAGGAAGATGCCCTTGGGAAGTGACCGCTGAGCTGAGCCTTGGAAGGAGATAGGGGTTGGATAGGCACCGAGGAAGTGGGTGAGAAGGGCACTTGAGTACAAGGGTAGCTGGCAACAGTGCCCAGAGATAGGAGGGGAGCGGGCGCATGTCCATGTAGCCCTGATTTAGGCTGCACAGCTCCCATAGGAGAGGAGACAACCCTCTGCACACAGACATACACGATCAGACGACAGCTCAGAAGGGTGAGGGCACTCAGGAGATGCTGAGCTCCCTTTCTGCTCCTCCACACAGGTACGGATACAACACCGTGGTCACTATCCCCGCAGGGGCCACCCACATCCTTGTCCGGCAGCAAGGGCCCCCTGGCCCTCGGAGTATTTACTTGGCCCTGAAGCTGGAAGATGGCTCCTATGCCCTGAATGGTGAATACACACTGATGCCCTCCCCCACAGACGTGGTACTGCCTGGGGCAGTCAGCTTGCGCTACAGTGGGGCCACTGCAGCCTCAGAGACACTGTCAGGCCATGGGCCGCTGGCCCAGCCCTTGACACTACAAGTCCTGGTGGCTGGCGACCCACAGAACGCTCGCCTTCGGTACAGCTTCTTCGTGCCCCGGCCAGTCCCTTCCACACCACGCCCGCCTCCGCAGGACTGGCTGCACCGCCGGGCACAGATTCTGGAGATCCTCCGGCGGCGCCCCTGGGCGGGGAGGAAATAACCTCACCATCCCGGCTGCCCTTTCTGGGCGCCGGGCCTCGGACCCAGCTGGGAAAATGAGGGGGGCTTCTGCCACTGCCTCACGCCTTTAAGACACAGTGGGGAGGGGCTGTGGGGTGTGGCCTGCCCCTCCTCTCTGGCCTGCTGTGCAGGCTGGCCCTGCTCTGGTCTTCTGCCCTGGGGGGCAGGGATAGACTAGTGCAGGAAAGGGGCTAGGAGACAGTCTCCTACCTACGCTGTCCCCTCTTCCCTGCAGGCCACAGGTGGCAGGGGGGAAGGCAGGGTGGGTCCTAGGCCCCAGTTGTATTTATTAAGTATTTATTCACTTTTATTTAGCACCAGGGAAGGGGACGAAGACTAGAGTCCTGGGGAAACTGACCTCCACCCCTCATAGCACTCACCCTGGCTTGGAAATCCAGGGTAGTAATGACAAGTGTAAGTGGGGTGTGTGTGTGTGAAGATGTGTGTGTGTGTAAAGGTATGTGTGTGTGTGTGAAGATGTGTGTGTGCTTATGTATGAGGTACAACCTGCCCTGCTTTCCTTTCTCTGAATTTAATTTGCTGGGAAAGGAAAAGCCAAGGGTAGGATAGGCCTTCAGGGAGTGAGATTATCATATTTGTAAGCTATGTGTTGAACTCTGCTATTTATGTGCTCCTTTTGAGTCAGATGGATGTGGATTGCATCTTAGCTCCATGATTCTGAGCATTAGTTTTCTAATTTTCCAATAATAATACCTCTTTAGAGATTCATTGTTGTGTGGATTAAATAATGTAAATAAAGAACTAGCACAATGCACGGCACTTGGTAGGTGCTCAACAAACAGCAGCTGTTGTTACTTATTCCCACCACCTTTATGTCCATGACCACCCGCCATAGGGTCTAGTGGGCACTCGAAAATGGCAAAGCGCTATGTCAATGGTGTCCCTCTGATCCCCAGCCTCGGCACCTTTGGTTGGCAGAACCCTGTCCCAGATTCCAAGGGACTGTCAGAGAAAGAGAGAGCACTCTGTCCCTCACCTCTGTGAGCTCCCGACCCCACGCAGGCAACACAACAAACAGTTGGCAAGTACAGTGGCTGGGAACGGGGAGGTGCAACAATAAAGAGGACACCACCAAACCCAACAGGTGCTTAGTGACAGGACTGAGAGGAGCAGGGCTGCTGACATACGAAGAGCTCTGAGTCGGGCGTGGTGGCACATGCCTATAATCCCAGCACTCGGGAGACTGAGGCAGGAGGATCCTTGTGAGTTCGAGACCAGCCTGGACCACAAAGTAGAGCTCAAGGCTGGCCTGAACTGCATAGGGAGACCCTGTCTCAGAAAGACAAAACAAAACAAAAAAAGAGTGCTGGAGCAGAAGCCCACGGATCTGAATCTGAGCTGGGGCCAGCAACTTATTAGCTGGGTGGTGTTGGGTCGCTGATGCCGAACCTCAGGTTACTCACAGACAGAATGGGACTAACACGACCTGTTCCCACAGCATTGTTCCGGGAGCAAGGGTTTCTGTATTTTCAAGTAGTAAAGGCTTTGGCAGTGTGAGAGGTTACTCTTATGACTGCTGAGTGACTGGGGCCGGGTCCCCAGAATCAACCAAGGAAACCCAGCAGATATCTTCGGAGGTGTGGGGTTAGAATGGAATTCAATAGGAGGGACAGGATGTGGCCCCCTTGGGGGCAAGCGGCAAGGCAAAAAACAACAGCATGAAGCAGGACCAGAGGAGAGGAGACCGCCAAATACAAGAGGAACGGTGGGTGCTGGGACGCCTCTCCTTGTCTGTCTGCGCAGGTGACTTCACTGGCACAACAACCTGGCAGTCCTGTGTGAGTCATGCACAGGACCAGATGGGGAAGGGCAGTGGGTGGACCCCGTAAGAATTTGGAGCTTAAGTGACAACAGTAGGATGCTGCGATTCAGGGAATGGACCAAAGGTGGAAGGGAGGGAGGAAGTGTAGGAGAAGAAGACCCTGAGCCGAGGGTGGAGAGGGAAGGATGGAGGGACTAACGGTGCCACACACTGCCATAGCACCCCCTGCTGGGCTGCCGAGCGTGGCTTGGGGTACAGAGCTGGGACTATGGAGTAGGGGCAGGCTGTGGAGCCTGTGGAGATTGTGGAGGTTGTGCGTGCTCTGTTCACTGGAGCTGAGCTGTGCCAATCAAGGTCTGTACCAGGCAGAGCCTTACATCATGCCCCGTACTTTACACCACCCAGCACCGCGCCTGCTCCCACTGTGACCATGAGAAAAGGGCCACCCACACGCCTCTCTCAGTGAACCTGGCCCCACTGCTGGGCTCGGTGCCCTGGTCTCCTCCCAACCAGGAAAGGGAAGGTGGAAACAGGACAGCGGGTTGAGGCCAAGTTATTGTCAGTTGTTCCATCTAATTAGGAGACGTGGACCACCAAGAATACATTCAAGGACCCCGATGCTATGAGCTCATGGTACACGGAGCAGAGCTCTGTTTGGAATTAATGTGAGGCACAAACACAATATATGCCCACAGCCCGGAGGAGCTCACATTACCGTCCGGGGAGGAGAGAAGAACGATGGGACAATACAAGGAACTGGAAGATAAGGGTGAAACGAATGGTGCAGAGCTTGAGCCTCCGGCTGAATGGACTCTGGGGGAAGGAGGGCGTGCCTTGGGCTGGGTCCTCGGGACAGGTAATCATGATAGCCCTTCTCACTTTCGTAAGAGCTCTCAGTGATTCACCCTTTGTAAATCACTTTTATATGTGCTATTTTAAGAAGAAATCCTTTGCTTAGTGGGTAGGGTTTTAACTTACATGAAAAAGTGTTTGTTTGTTTGGTTTTTTTTTTTTTTGGTACTGGGAATCGAACTCACAACCTCGTGCTTGCCAAGCAGGCAGTTGCGCCACTGAGCTATATCCCCGGCCCAAAAAAGTGGTTTTTCAAAGGGTTGGTTTTTTTTCTTTTGTCATTTTGTTTTGTTTTTAAATCACAGCAGCCACCTCTGTGATTGGATGGGTAGATAGGTGAATGGGAAAATAAGAGAAAAGAGGGCAGAGAGGGAGCAAGCTCTTCATAAAGAAATGATGGGCACCCAGCGCTCAATCTCAGGCAAAGCCTGATTGCTCCCCAGAACGATCATTTCGGTGCCACCCCTCCCTGACCCAGGTTATGGGCTCCTCCTAATGTTCTAATGTCCGGAGTCCGAGAAGTCCTTACAGGGGCTGCAGGGAGTGCATACCTCTCTGTAAGAGCCTGGGTGACCTGTGTCCCCTGGCTGCCTACTTACCACCACCACGGACCTGAGCTAGGAGGGTGTGGGTGTACAGCAGGATCAGAAGCAGGAATAAGAGCAGGAAAGGTGGCACTGAAACCGCTTAAGTGTCTGACTTAGAGATGGAAAGAGGGAAGGAGAGGCACAGTGCCTGATGAGGATGTGAATGCCTCATCCCTAGCGAAGTCCGAGCAGAGTTTGGACAACCATGACATGCCAAGTGTTGTGCCTGAGTACATGTTGGAGGTGGGGAGAAACCTGGAGCAGTAATGGAACTGGGATAATTTCTTTAAGTTCCTCCTTCCCCGACATTCTCTGCTTCTGTGGTTAGAACAGAGGAAATCTGGGCATTTGTCCAACCACTATTTTCTGTGGGGGAGGTGGGAGGGCCAGGATTTTTGGAGAGTGCAGAGAAATGGGCATTTACACTTCTACTCCATCACTTATTTAATCTCTGTACAGTACTACAATATTTTGTTTTCTAAAATACCACATTGACAGGAAGGGACAAAACCAGCCTCTTATTGGTTGGAGCTTCAGGGGGAGGAAGGGGCAAGGAAGTGACTTTCAATATATTAACATTTGATTGGCTAAGCAACTGCTGCTGAGCCAATTGAATACCTTCCCCATTGACTGTTGCTGGGGAGAAGTCAAAATCACTGGCAGCAAGAGTAACCAGCTGACAGCTGCAGGAAACCACCACTTCTAAAAATGCTCGGAAAGAGGAGGGTGTGGGGATTTCAGGAGCAACAATACTGAACAACTTCCCCAGACAGGACCTTATATGGGGATGGGCCCAGAGAACTTAAGTAGTGTTGGGAAGGAAAGGGAGGGGAGGAAGTAGACTGAGGCATCCCTCACAGTTAGCGACAGGCCCCACAAAACCACACAAACAGTGACACACACATTACACACACACACACACCCAGCTCCATAGCATACACCAACACCCTCTCCTGATAATGTAGATGCAAATAAGCATTACAGAGCCAAAAATATTTTTTTAAAAAGTTTGACCTGAAAATGAGTCTGAATCAAAGGGCAAAATACATTAATTGACTTGATCTCCTCCTCTGAGAAGACTGCTTTTATGCCATTTATCTGTGGTCATCATGCTCTTGGAGCATTTGGAAAGGATGTGAACTGTGAAGTCAAGCTGAATCCAAGCCTCACTACTTACTCACATATAATGATGTGGACTTGGACTTAATCCACTTGTTTTCTTTCTTTCTTTCTTTTTCTTTGTTTCTTTGTTTCTTTTTTCTTTTTTCTTTTTTCTTTTTTTTTTTTTTTTTTTCCTTTTTGAGACAGGGTCTCACTATGTAGTTCAGGCTGGTCTCGATCTCACTTTGTAGCCCAGGATGGCCATGAACTCATTCCTGTCTCAGCCTCCCAAGTGCTGGGATTGCAGGCGTGCACCACCACACCCAGCTAATCCACTTGTTTTCTGCAAACCTCACTGTCCTTACCTGTAAAATGAGTACATTACTCGCTGCCTTATGGAGAAGTTGTCAGAACATAAGAATATGACAACGTAAATGCTTAGCACTCTCTGTCTTCTAGCAAGTGGCCAATACATGCTGATTCTCTGTCCCTTAAATCTTTTCCTTTGCACGCTCTGCCTTCTAATCCTGGCTTCAAACTCACAATCCTCCTGCCTCAGCCTCCAGAGTACTGAGATTTCCAGCACGCACCACAGTGCCTAGTTTTTCTGTAGAATTTGTGCTAAAAGTTCTGATTACATTCAGGGGATGACAAAAGGGAATGCATGGTCTCTATTCTCAGAGAGTTTATAATCTGTGGCTGACACAGTCAGGGAGGACCAAGATTCCAGTCCTGTGCTACAGGTGCCATGACAGAGGAGGAGCACCTGGCCCAGAATGTAAAGTCACAGAAACGGTCCTGGAGGAGGCGTTTGCCTCTCCTTCTAGGAGTAAGCTGTAAGATGTAGGGACTCCACAGAGTCCCATAGGGTGGTGCAGGTAGAGGGAAGGATTTCTTTTTCTTTTGCAATTAATTATATTGGTACATTTTAGATACACATGATGATAACATTCATCATAGGGAATTTATACATTTTTTTTTTTCTTTTGGTCTTTTTGAGACAAGGTCTCACTATGTAGTTCAGGCTGGCCTTGAGCTCACTTTGTAGCCCAGGCGGGTTTCAAACTCAAAACGATCCTCCTGCCTCAGCCTCCCAAGTGTTGGGATTACAGGCGTGTACCACAGCACCTGGCAATTTATACAAAATATATCTTGCTGCTTTCCCCTACTTCCTTCCCCTCTCTTCGGCCCTCTTCCCCTCATCTACAAAGCTTTGTTTCCATTTTTTCCTTCCATTCTTTTTTCTTGTCCCTTCCCGCCCCCATGCTTGTTCCCCTTTCTTGTTCCCCTGGGGAAAGGATTTCTGTCTACTAGGTCAGTTCCAGAGTCCTTCCATGTAACACAAAATCCAAGTGAAGTAAACGGAGCAGATACGAAGCTGGAAGACGATACGATCCGGTGAGGAACAGAGCAGGGCGGGATCTGGACAAACTGTGAGCTGGGAGTAGGGGCTCAGGGATGGTTTTGTTTTGTTTTGTT